TGGGAGGCCCCAGAGACAGTGGACCTGGTGGTCAGACTCAACTGCGCTGGATCACAGCCCTACCTCATCCATGAGTGACACTCAAGGGGCGCACTTGGTGAACACCAAAGCTCCACTGAAGTAAATCCTGCTCCATAGGGGTGTCTCCAACACAGCAGCTCTTTGGCTGTAGTTGCAACTGGTCCTCACAGCCAGTTGGCCTGGGTGTCAATTCCTCCCAATGGTGCCAACAGCAACCAAGGCTCAACTACAACAGGACAGTGCACAGAGCCCACACAGGGGAGCACCTAGAAGGCCCAGCTCAGGGGACTGGGGAGGCTGAGCCACTGGACCCTACAGGATACGTACTACACAAAGCCACCCTGCCAATTCCAGGAGACTTAGCAGCTCTACCTAATACATCGAAACAAACACCTGGAAGCAGCAAAAATGTGGAGGTAAAGAAACACGTCACAAAGGAACGAATAGAAGAAATCTCCAGAAAAAGAACTAAATGAAACAAAGCCAAGCAAACTACTAGGTACAGAGTTCAGAATTATGATTATAAGGATGCTCAAGGATGTTAGTAAGACTATTAAGGAAACTAGTAAGATCAATGACATAATAAAGTACCAATTTGAAATGAAGGCTACACGAACTGAAATGAAGAATAATTTACAGGGAATCAACAGTAGAGTAGAGGATGCTGAGAATCAAATCAGCAATTTGGAACATGAGGAAGCAAAAAACACCCAACCAGACGAGCAAAAAGAAAAAAGAATCCAGGAACATGAAGATAGTATAAGGAGCCTCTGGGACAACTTCAAGCAGGCCAACATTCACATTTGGGGGTACCAGAAGGAGAAGAAATAAAGCAAGAAATTGAAAACCTATTTTAAAAAATAATTACAGAAAACTTCCCCAACCTGGTGAAAGAAATAGACTTACAAGTCCAGGAAGCACAGAGGGTCCCAAACAAGAGGAACCCAAAGAGGCCCACAGCAAAACACATCAAAATTAAAATGCCAAAGGTTAAAGACAAAGAGAGAATCTTAAAAGCAGCAAGAGAAAAGCACTTAGTTACCTACAAGGGAGAACCCATATGACTGTCAGCTGATTTCTCAACAGAAACCTTTCAGGCCAGAAGGGAGTGGCAAGAAATATACACAGTGATGAAAAACATGGAACTACAACCAAGACTGCTCTACCCAGCAAAGCTATCATTTAGAATTGAAGGTCAAATAAAGAGCTTCTCAGACAAGGAAAAGCTAAAGGGGTTCATCACCACCAGACCAGTACTACATGAAATGTTGAAGGGTCTTCTTTAAGAAGAAGCTAATGAACAGAAGAATCTGACAAACTAAATAGATCCAGAAACACTGACGCATGCAACAGATGATCATATTTCAGAGGGAAGAGGGAAGGGGGGTGGAGGGTGGGAAGAGATTAAACAAAGAAGTTATATGCATATATACATAACCCATGGACACAGACAATAACAGGGTGAAGGCCTGGGGAGGGGGTGGGAGCAAGGTGGAGGGGGTCAACTGAGGGGGGGAAATGGGACACCTGTAATGCTTTCAACAATAAAGATAAATAAATTAAAAAACAAAAAATAAAAAGACCATGATTAGCAGCTTGGAAATTTCAGTCCCGCCTCTCAGTCTCTGGAGAAGGGAGGGGTGAAAATGGAGTCACTAAGCAGTGGTACCTGCATGGTGAAGCCTGCACAGAAACCCCAACAGTTCAGGGTTCAGGGAGCTTCTGGGTTGGTGAACACATTATATACGTGCCAGGAGGGTGGTGCACCCCACTCCAAAGGGACAGCTCTTGTGCTGAGGACCCTTCTAGACTTCACCTTATTTATCTCCTCATCTAGCTATTCATGTGTGTCCTTCATTATGTCCTTTACTGCACAATAAACCAGTGAACATAAACGTTCCTCCAGGTTGGTGTGAGCTGTTTTAGCAAGCAATATAATCCAAGGAGGAAGTCATGGAAAACTTAAATTTGTAGCTAAACTGGATAGGTTGTGGGTACAAGGTGTGATACGGTGATTTATAATAAGAAATATATATTTGGTCTTCATTGTTCCTGGCACATGGCTGCCAAAACCTTGGGATTCTCTATAAAACCCACAGGGGCATCTTTTGTTACACTGTAGCCTTGCGTCACCAGTTCCTGAAAGCTCCAGAGCCATAAAGAAAACAGGAGTGTCCTGCTATTCACAAGCACCTTCCACCCATGCCTGAGCATACTACAATGAGGTAACTTTCAGAAATCCCTGGGGATGGGGGCTTGTCAAGGGAATTGGCCATGATTAGAGGATTAGAACTTTCAATCCCACCCCCTCACTCTGACCTCCAGAGCCAGGAGAGAGGCTGGAGGTTGAATCAATCATAATGGCCATTGATTTCATCATCCTAAGTAATGGAGCCTCCATAAAAACCCCACAGGAGAGGTTCGAAGCTTTCAGGTTGGTGGTGAACCCCTGGAGATGGTGGGAGAGTAGCAAGCCCAGGAGCATGAAAGCTCTGAGCCCCTTCCCGCATACCTTGCACTAAGCATGTCTTCCATATGGCTGCTCCTGAGTTATGTCCCATTATAATAAACCAGTGATTTAGTAAGTAAAATGTTTCGATGCGTTGTATGAGCTGCCCTAGTAGATTAATCAAACCCTAATAGGGGGTGTTAGGAACCTCTGATCTAGTCAGTCAAAAGCACAGGTGACAACCTGGACCTTTGATGGACACCTGAAGCGGAGCAGTCTCTCCGGACTGGGTCCCTCCCCTATGGGATCTGACACTGTTTACAGGAAGATGGTGTCAGAATTGAGTTCAATTGTAGGACACCCGATCAGTCTCTACTGAAAACTGAAGAATTGATTGGTGTTGGAAAAAACAAACATCATACCCTGGGACCTACTACCTGTGATTGGTGTCTGAAGTGGGGGTGGTCTTGTGGGACTGAGCCTTAACCTGTGGAGTTGAATTGTAGGACACAGCTGGTGGGAAAACCCCCACATATCTGGTGTCAGAATGTGGAAGTAATGAGAGTGAAAGAGGGAGCTTTCCCTAGAAGTGGGATTTAATTCCTCAGATACAAACCCTTTGTCAGATATGCGTCTTTTGAATGTTTTCCCAGAAGTATTTCCTGGTTCTGATACATTTTTCTTGTACAGTCAGCCTCTAACAGTCTTTGCCAAATGGAAATTCATGCTGTCAGTTCAGCATCTGAGTGCCACTCGGACTTAGTGTGTGAACACCAAATTCCTCCTTCTTTTGGTGAGAACATTTTAGCTTACACCCTTAGCAAATTTCAATTACACAACAGTGTTATTAACTAGTGACATTACCCATCAGATCCTCAGGCCTTACTCATAACTAAAATTTTGTACCCTTTTACCTACCTTTCCATGTTTCCCCCACCCCCTAGCTCCTGGCAATCACTTTTCTACTGTTTCTATGCACCTAACTCTTCTTTTATGGTACCACGTGTAAGTGACACCACTTAGTATTTGTCTGTCTCTGACTTATCTCAGCATAATGCCTTCAAGATCTACCAATGCTATTGCCAATGCAGGATTTCCTTCTCTCATAGCTGCATATATACACCACTTCTTCATCCATTCATCTGTTGATGGACACAGGGTGTTTCCATGTCTTGGCTATCGTGAATGATGCCCCAGTGAACATAGGAGTGGGGGTATCTCGATATCCTGTTTTCATTTCATTCGAATCACAGTCCTTTCTTGATCTGAATAAAGCAGGACAAATGAACACGAATTCTGGGTTATCAGCATGATTTACATTTCACAAATGCTTCCGTTCTGGTGGCCAGGCTTGTTTTGAGATGGTCTATAACTTGGATAAAGAATGTGGGGGCTTTTCCAGGTTCCTGTAGCCTTAAATCTTGGAATTTCCCCAGTGATCAGTCTGTTATTCATGGTGGGCTCCTAGAGTTTCCATCTGATGACTCAGAATGATGGCTGGACATGCCAGGAAGACCAATCATGTAATGAGAAGGTTGGGACTCTCAGCACAATCTCTGGAGAGTGGAGGGGAGATGGAGATTGAGCTCAAGTCATGGCCAATGATTCAATCACACCTATGTATGAAACCCCAATAAACACTGGACACTGGAGCTCAGATGAGCTCCCCATTAGTGATGCTTTATGTCCTATCATACATTAGTGTGTGGGTGGGGAACATATGCTGACTCTGGTGAGAGCACTCAGAAACTTCACATCTGGGACCAGCCCAGACATCACTCTACATGCTTCTTCTTTTAGCTGGTTCTGATGTGTATCTTTTTTGCTATAATAAAACTATCAGCTGTGCATAGTGCTCCTGAATTCCATGAGTTGTCCTAGTAAATACTCAGACCTGAAGTGGTCATGGGAACCTCCTAAATTTGCAACCAGCTGGTCAGAACTGAGGGTAGGCCTGGAGATTCCCCAGCTTACAGCTGGTGTGTGAAATGAGGGCAGGTTTGTAGAGGGTGGTGCCCTTACCTTTGAAGTTGGGCGTAACTTTAGGTAGGTAGTGTCAGATTGCTGTGAAAAGGCTTTCCTGTATTCACTGCCGCTTGTTTCCCTGACCTACTCCCTCTTATCTCTGAGCTCTTTGATTCAATAGGAGTTGTGACTATTTTTAGAGCAAACCTATTTTGAATTATAAAATTTTTGTAAAAAGCACTGCAATTGTGGATAATAGTAATTATTTGTGAAGTAAATCAGATTATCAGACATATTTTTTTATCCAACAAATTTTTATTAAGTATGTTCCAGAGGTGCATTTGTCTACAGGACACAAAGATAAAAGACACAGTTCCTGCTGTTAGGAGCTGACGGTCCATCAGAGCCTCAGCCAGTGCATACAGTAGAGCTGCTCGGTGCTGTGAGAGGAACACGAAATGGGGAGGACATGGATGCCAGAGGAGCGGGTGAGCAGGAGAGGCAGTGGCGTGGAAGAAGTGACATCAACTGAAGTGTGTGAGCTGAGCAGGGAGCACCTGGGAGGAAGGGGCACAGTGGGGACAGAGGGTGGTGTGGAGGGTAGAGAGGAGTGCACCCTGGTCCTGACATGAAGCTGAATGGCACACAGCAGAGGTAAGAGCTGCAGTTAGAGAAATATGGGGCCAGAACATAAAATGCCTTCTATACACGATGCCAAGAAGTTTGGATTCCATCTTCAATGTGGTGGGAAACACTGGAGGATTTCAAGAAGGGGCATAAAATAATAAAGAGATGTGTTTCAGAAAAACATATTTGGAGCAGTGTTAATAGATTATATGTCAGAGGAGCCTGGGATGAGTTTTAGGAAGTGGTGAGGTAATTCTGGAGGAAAACAGCAAGGCCTTAGAATAAGGATGCACCAGGGAGGCTGAGGGTTTGGTGTGGATGTGCGCTGCTCGCTGCAGTGGACAGGGGGAAAAAAGCATCTCTGGTGGGAGGACAGTTCAGTTTTGTAGATTCAGAAGCTGTGGAACCACAAAGTGCAGCAGGTGTGTGATTGAACAGTTGGGTTGGCAGCTTAGGAAAGAAATTGCAAGTGAAAATGCAGATAGGAAAGCCATAACTTTAAAACTGACTTTGGAGCCACGGGAGTGAACCAGATCAAGTAGTTGTATTGGAAAATAGATAATGGGGGCAAGACTCCAAAGAAAGTTGTGCTGATTATTTTTAAGTCAGGTACATTCTACATGCTGAGGAAAAAAAGCCAGCGGGAGGGGTAGGTGAAATTATGGAAAGGACATGATGAAGCAAGGTCTCTATGAAAGAGGGGAAGAGATTCAGAGCGATCCAGAGAAAGGGTGAGGGATACATGTTCATCACACAAGATGAGGAATACTGCATTTTGAGTGAAAAAACCCACAATGGTAGGGGGAGTACTACAGAGACAACACTGAAGTTCAACTCAAAGGTAAACTCCTCTCAGGGACAAAAACAAACCAAAAAAAAAAATCAAGTAACAGGAGATTCAGGTCTATTCAAGCAGGAGCACAGCAGGTGAACAACGGTCACTAGGCCACCACCTCCAGTCAAGCAGGTGGTATGGAATCCCTATGAATAGCACTTCCTGGGGTTGTGCACAAGCTGTTCAACTGTACTCAGTGAGCCTGACAGTTCCCACAGGGGGTACCTAGCTTTTTGGGGGTCTTGCTTGGCAAAAGAGATGAGACCTTAGGTATAAATATCAAACCTGAAAATATAGACTGTAATAAAGGGATGAGCCTAGGAGGACTGAGAGCAGGTCAAATGTATCCACACCTAACACGGGACTTTTCCAGGCAGTAAGGAATGGCAGCCAGACTACAGTTTAACCAGTGCCTTTAACGCATAGAGAGAACATGTCACTATGGAAATGCCAGCCTAGAAAGCAGGGTTCAGAAAGGGAACTTATGTCTATGAGGCTCAGAGAATTCCATTAGCTAGCATGCTGTGTGGCAGATCAATATGTCCTTATGTCTTCCCAGAATCTCAGTAATTATACCCACTTACCTATTTGGATGTTATGCTTATCAAGTATCTTCAAATTGGCATCTGAAAGAAGGGATGTCCTAGTTAGAATGCACATTCTTCCCTCTCCCCAAACACCAGTAAAGCTGACAAAATGGCAGCCAGATTTGTGTCTCAGAAACAGGTAAATGTGGTTAGGATCAGTCCATTGCTAAGAAACTGGTGTTCTAGGCAACCTGAAAGATCCAGTTAACAAGTCTGTAAGGCTGATGTCCATCTGCGAGGTCATCCCATCTGCACCAAGTCAGGATCCCTGGACAACACCCGACCAACAGTACCCCCAAAATCATGACATAAGTCAACTGTGGTTATCTGGTGGCCAGTCAGGCATCCAGAAAGAGGGTCCATGTGTCACCTAGATATTACAAAAAGAAGAGAATTAGACTGAGCTATTAGAGCAGTGTTGAGTATAATCAATCTCATTCCTGTTTCCCGTTGTGCTGCTTGTACCCGTGTACAGTGGGCATCACTGTGTATCATCAGGTTATCCCAATGGAGCACAGCCTTGAATGCTGCTTTCCCCACCTGTGTCCTCTCTAGAGGGGCACAGACAGTTAAGTTATGCTTCCTCTGGCCCTGAAAGTACAGAACACGCAGCCCTGTGCAGAACACTCAAATATGTTTCTTGTATTGAACCAGGCACAGTTACGGGCCAGTTAGGTATCACAGGGCTTCAAATTAGCTGTGGAAGGAATTAGGCTAAATCTGCATGGGGCGAACACTCACGAATGTGCGAGAATCTGTCAAAAATGTGATCCTCAAGAAAAAAAGGAAGCCTAGCTCTCAGGAGGCTTGGGGAGAGGGGAGTGAAAGTACTGCCAATGACTCGCAGAAATGAGTAATAATCTCAACCCGCTCTATACCTAGCTATTCCTGTGTCCAGCTGGCTACAAGAGGGAAGAAAAATCCCACAGCTCCTTCCACTTCTGTTGGAATTTCACCATGAAATGGAGTTTACGTTTACAATAATTAAATGTTATGACATCCCTGGAAAGACTAAATGAGAAATTTCCTAGGATCCATTTCTTTGTGGTTTTAAATGTGATTATATTGAATGTAAAGTACTGTTAACTTAGATCTGAATTTATTTCCATTTTCCCACCATCGACATAAACTTCTAAGAGTAAGAAACATCAGGTTTTAATTCATCACTGCCCTCCCCTCCAAGTTACTTGTGTTCATGGTCATCTACATTGTTTATATCGTCGACACATCTCAACTCAATTTTGCCACTGAGAACATTCTAGATTGAGTGTCACCTCACGCACAATCACAACCATTGTGTACCCAATCACCCTCATGCACAATCACAACCATTGTGTACCCAATCACCCCCCGAGTCTCGCCTCTCCACTTGGTTCCACTAAGTGTGTCCTGGCTGGACTGCTCTTGTTAGGTGGTATGTTCGCCAAGACATTCTACAAACATTCATGTAGCACCTGTTATGAGCAAAGCGCTGACACAGGTGTACAGAGAACATGCAGACACATAAAACACAGCCCTTTGCCTTGAAATCTACAGTCTGCTAAAGAAATAACATGCAAAAGGAGTAAACTATTAAAAGGAATCAAAAGAGCAAGGAAAGAAGTTGCTGCTTAGGTGAGGTAGGAGGGCACCACAGACCAGGGGCTTCTCAAAGGGAATTTAAAGGGTTCCTGCTGGATGAAGTTGGGAGGGAGCACTGCAGGAAGAGACAACACATAGCAATGTGTGGGCATGAATGTTGAGACAAATTAACCAGAAGCAAGATGCAAAGAAGATGACAGCAAATAATTAAAGACAATAAACACCAGGTGAGAATCTCAGCACATGCTGCCCAGTGAAGACCACTTTTTAAAAATGCCATTTCAGCATGTAATTGTATGGCACAAATCATTAGTTTAAAACAAAACAAGCAAAACAAAATCAAGTAACACGAGATTCAGGGGCTTTTCAAGCAGGAACACAGCAGGTAAATAACAGTCACTGGGCCACCACATCCAGTCCAGCAGGTCGTATGGAGTCCCTGTTAGTGGCACTTTCCTGAGGTTGTGCACAACCTGTTCAACTGTACTCATTAAGCCTGACAGTTCCCGGGGGGGGAGGGTATCTGGCTTTGGGGGGTCTTGCTTTGTGAAAGGGAACACATTCATGGTGAGATGGGGCCAAGAGCAAAAAATCAAGTCTCTCAGCAGATAGAAATCAGGTGTATAGTTCAATCTCTTGAAATAACACAGGAGAGACACATGTAGGTACGAGGCAAGGCATTCTACTACTGAGAAACACAGGGAGGCCATACAGGAGCCCAGATAACAGGTAAGTGACTGTGTGGCAGGATTAGTATGATTCTGAACGTAATTTCTAAGTAAGAACTGTCACAGCTTCTTTAAGAACTGAATTAGTTCCAGAGACTCACACCACCATGCCCCAAACAACCCCAACTACTGATGGAGTTTAACTAGCTGAAGGACATAATTATTAGGAACCAAAACATGTAATCACATCATTATTCAAGAAAAAAAAATGTTTTGTTTTTTATTATAAAAATTTTATTTATTTAAAAAAAAACTTATTATAAATACCAGTTACTGTTTCCTTTCATTACAAATAACATTTCAGCTTGATTATACATTTTAAAAGCTTTGCGCTTTAAGCCTGGAAATCCATGTCTTCTGAGTACCAAATATTCTACTTGCTAATTCACTTTTTTTTTTGGGGGGGGGCGTTGGTCCTAAAGTACAATTTCACTTAACATATAAAAATTGTGTAAAACCAACTGGCCAGAGATAATCTTTGTTTGGTAGTAATATCAGCTGCACCACACTGCAAGCCTTTTGACATTCATGTTACTTATATCACCACATTTAATCCTCACAAAAACCCTAGACACTGGTAATATTTATAACGGAAACTAACATTTAATGAATGATTACTGAGTACAAGACACTGTTCAAATACCTAGTATTACCTCATTTAGTCCGCATGACAGTCCTATGTGGGAAGTAACTTTATTATCTGAATTTCACACATAATGTGACTGAGAATTCAGGGACCTCCCTAAGGTTGCAGTGCTAATAAGAGGAATCCAAGTTCAAGGACTCACACCTCTTGACTCCAAAGCCCAGGCTCCAGACCACAAGTTTTACAGGTCCTGCCATTGGTATACAGGGAGTAAACAACATTGTCGATATTACTGTTAGAATTTCACAAGAGTTATTCAGTGAATGCCCAAAGATGAGCAATAGCCAGGAGCAATGTGAGTCTGGATCCAAAGAAACCATTATTTTCAAAAAATTTAATGAGCTGTGAGAGTGACTTGTTCAAAAATGCTAAAGAGAAACACAGCCACTCAAAGTTACAACAGAAAATATTGCTGCAAAACAAACAGAAAACCAAATAAACAAAGTAAAATGCAAGGAAATGAGGTTAGGGTGAAATCATATCCCAGGTCTGCCTACGTTTTAGAAAATGTGAAACCAAAGCCACTCTAAGAAAATGAAGTTTGTGGAAATTCTGCAATTTGATATAGACAGTGGTTTAATTTTGGTTGAAAAAGTTTCTAGATTTATTGTGGGGGAAAAAAATCAGTCTGAAGTAGCACAAGTGACAATACTGCTAAATCTGAGTAACTTGAGGTCTACACAGCTTATTACTTATTAGCACACACGTTTAATAATGACTATGTACCTGGTTTTAAAATTTTTTATATTCTGGTTATGCTACCTTCCAGGCTTAAGGAACTCTAGTATTGTGTATTTTCAAATCAAAATCTGTTTAAGGAAGGTAGAGAAGGAAGAGGAAGAAGAGACTTATTATTGGGGTTTAGAATCGTGAAATAAAGCAAAGGCCCATAAAGAGCCCAGGTTGATTACTGAGCTAGTCTCCTTTCCGTTCTAACCCATTTCTTCTACTGAAGGGGGTTTCTGAATCCTACAGCGTGTCTTAGAAATCATCCAGGTTAAAGTATTCATCTTAGGATAGCAAAAGTGGTCTAAACTCACATAGTTACTGGCAGGAGAGCCAGAATGAGTGGGCATCCTGACTATGGGTACTCCCTCTGGGCCTAAGTCTATTCCTCAGGCACACACAGTCTCTGTGCAAACATATAAAGGCCCATTTAGAGAGAACACCTTATTAGAAAATGGGTTTCCTCACAAGGATAGATTCAGTACTTAAAGAACATTGTAGTGGGGGAGATACTTTTGCCTTAAAAAAAAACTTTTTTAAGTTACTTAGAAAAAAAGTAATTATATATGAGGTGATTAACGTCATTAATCATCAGGGAACTGCAAATTAAAACCACAATGAAATATCACTACACACCCACTAAAATAAAAAGGACTCACAATACCAAGTGTTGGCAAGAATGTGGAGAACCTGGAACTCTCACCAGCGGTAAGTGGGAATGTAAGCTGTACATTTTGGAAATCCCAGGGCACTGTTTACTGGCGTAGAAACACATACATTCTATAACCTAGCAATTCCAATTCCTGGGTGTATGATATGTTCCAACAGAAATGAGTGTTATTTCCAACAAAAGATATAACAATGATCATAGCAGATTTATTCACACTGACCCCAAACTAAAACAACTTAAGGGTCAGAAAACAATAAAAAAAGAGAAGTAAACTGTGATATATTCGTATAACGGAATACTATTCAGCAAGGAAAAAGAATGAACTTCTGCTACATAAAACAACATGGATGAATCTCACAGAAATAAAGTTGAGCCAAAGAAGCCAGACATGAAAGAGTACATTGCATTACGATTCCATTTGTAAGAAGAGACAAAGTAACTTAGGGTGCTAGAAGGCAAATAATGGTTACCTTGGGGAGGGGAAGGCATTTACACGAAGGGGACAAAGGGAGCCTTCTGTGAGGTGGGAAATGTTTCGTAGCTTGACGCAGGTGGAGGGCACATGGTTGTACACATATACAAAAATCCGCGAAATTGTACTTACGATCTTGCGGACTTTGCTATAATACATAAGCTACAGCCCATCTCCAAGGCTCTTCCGGGTCACGTCCTGCCGCAGAGCGTGGTTCTTTTCCATTGCTGTCCAACACCGTCAGCACCGTACTGCATGAACGCACCGCCATTCTCCTTTTTATCCTTGTGGAGCATCTAAAAAAGGTTCAAAACATTAATTTTTTAGATCCTAAACGAACACTTTCACCGCTCCCTGGCAGACTGTTGACTCAAATACTACGAAACGAACTCCACTTGCAGCGCTGGCCGTCCCCTTGAAGCACCAACGCACTGCCGGGCCCGCACTTAACTGCTGGCAGCCGGGGCTCCGCGCTCAGCTCAGCTCAGCTCAGCTCAGCTCAGCTCAGCTCAGCGACGGGAAGGAAAGCTGCTCTCAGAGAACCTCGGGCATAGCAGTGTCTGCTTACGGTGACCCTTTGAGAATCAACAAAACACTGCATTTAGAGGGTTGGTCTGTGATGAACGAACTCGCGTAATTACTTCGCAGAGCCGCTGTGAACGGTGAAAAGCATGAGAACCAACCCGGGTGGGATGGAGGCGGCCAACCCTCACAGCACACCCCGACGGACCCTAGAGAACTAGATCTACAGCTCCTTCCGAACGCCGCGCCGGCCCTGCGCGGAGCCTCCGTGCGTGTCCTTCCCTCTGCCACCGCCCGGCGCAGCCTCCGCCCCGACACACCGCGGGAGCTTTACAGCTTCCGGCTCCCCCATTCACTTCCACGATGCGTCCGAGGCTCACTCCCGTCTACGGGGAGAGGGGGGTCCCCACGGAGGGAACGGACAGAGCCTGTCACCGAGAGTGTGCAGAGTCGGCGCCACGGGGGATGGCGCCCAGAAGGGAGCAAGCAGCAGCATAAAGCCCGGATGCACGGGGCGGAGCTGCGCAAAACAACACAACACACACACACAACACACACACAACACACCACACACCACACACACAACACAACACAACACACAAACACACAACACACCACACACACAACACAACACACCACACACACACAACACACCACACACACACAACACACACCACACAACACAACACACACACAACACACAACACACCACAACACACACCACACACCACAACACACCACACACACACCACACACCACAACACACCACACACACACCACACACACAACACACACACAACACAACACCACACACACACAACACAACACACAACACAACACACACCACACACACAACACACACACAACACAACACACACCACACACAACACCACACACACACACAACACAACACAACACACAACACAACACACAACACACACCACACACCACACACACAACACACCACAACACAACACACCACAACACACCACAACACACCACACACACCACACACACAACACACACA